CGGAAGAGTGGCACCTATTCTGCCGCACAGCCCGGTGTCTCCACTTGGGAGCCCGGAACCCGCCGACGTGTGGACGGTCTTGCTGCCCTGGGTCAGGCTGCTTGGCCGCCTCGGAGACGCCCACTTGCTGGTCAGCTGAGCCTGACTGGCCACCAGCGGGAGCCCCCGTCAGCAGGCTTGACCTAGGGGTGCCAAAGCCCCCGCCAGCACTCCCTTCTTTTCAGAACCTGAAAGTGGTTTGTTCCGGGGCCTCTGGCCTGGCCCCAGGGCTATCGGGGACCTACTGAGCCAAGTCAGCTGGCCGTTTATTGTCTAGGTGACAGTTGGGAGGCCTCTCTGTCCTCTAATCACTGAGCTCATGGTCACAGCCTGAGAGTGGGATCCCAAGTTTCTAAAGTCCTGTGTGTGTTTGTGACCTTACAGGACATATTCTATAGTAAAAGGCTGCCTGACACCGGGATTATTGTATAGATTACATGTGTGGTTACCGCAATTGTGTAAGTATACAGAACCGTTGTAAAATGCTGCCCAAATCATGGAGACTGAACTTATTTATAATTTAACCCTTGACCTACTTCACAAAGAACAAAGTAGCAAAATTCGACTGAAAATGCTCCAGTGTAACTCGGAAGTCGAGAAAGGAAGGAAAGGAAGGAAGGAAGAAGGTGAAATGATGATAGGGTGAGTTTCCCCGAAAAGTATCCTGTGGAAACATTATCAAAAATAGAGCCTGGCCTCATAAAGGTACATTATGTTTTTTTCAGGTTCAGAGGAAAACAATAAAATCCCTCCTAAACGAATCACCTAGTAGCATTTGAGCAAAGTTTAGGCTGGAAGGTGCTTTCGTGGGCTGGCGGCAGGCAGCGTATGGTCCCTAACCCTCTTGGTTCTGTATTTTGAGAACCTATGAGTGAAGAAGAGGCTCAGGTGTGTTTCTCAGCTTTCCCAGTTTCTTACTTGAAATTGGGATGTGAAAGAAAGCAAGTGTATTTTTCTGAAGACCTGGCGCCTCCTTTTTTTCTAGCTCCAAAGCCTTGAGAAAGACTCCTATTTTAGAGTTCCTCTGGTGGCCACACTTTTCGAGGAAATACCGATGTGGAAATTTGGCTGTCAGATGTCTGTCTGGTGCGGAGTGTCCCTGGCTGGACTCAGCCGGCTGTATTTGGGTGGGTGTGAAGCTGGTGGGTTTGTAGGCTGTGTTAGCAAGAGTGGAATGGCTCTCTCTGCATTTCTTAGTGGGGGAAAGGGAGGGTGGACCAGATTCAGGGAACAAGCTGAGTGATCAGCTGGGACAGTCTTGGGTGTGTCAGTCACATTCTATGGCATAGACATACTTAGGAAATCTCTGATGCCTAAGGGGCTTTCTTTCGGATGACTCCCACCTGGTGACCTGCAACAAAAGTGGCATCTGTGTAAGCAGGGCTGCTGAGAGGAGCTTCCATTCGTTGAGTACCTACTAGGTGCTAGGCATAGTACATGCACTGTCACCAATTCCCCTGATAGCTCTGAGCACCAGCCCTCATTTTAAAGCAGGTGAACTGAATTTGAGAGAAGTGAAGGAAATTGCCCAAGGAGTAATGCTTGCAACTTTGGTTAGCAGCTCAGATGGTCAATATTACCCTGTGCCCGTCTTTCTTTTAAACATGATAGCCTGGGCTCAATTGTGTTATAAGGCCAGTGAGGGAAGGGTATGGATCCATGTGGGAAAAGGAAAGTGTAGCCCCTGAGGTCAGCATGGTGGTGACAGCATCCCTAAGGAGTGGCTGAAATATTGGGGCTAAAATGAGGACAGCTGCTCCTTCCCACTTGGAGCATCTCTCCTGCTAATCCTGAAGTTTGATTTCACTCAGAGCCAGCTGGCTTTCACACAGGTGGAGGCAGGGGGGCCTGAGCCCTGAGGCTCTTCAGGACCCAGGGTGTTGGGGTTTCAACAGAGGGGATGGTAGCTCTGGCCCTTTTTGTCCGTGAGCCTCGTCTGTGAGCAGGCTGGATCTCAAGGCTGAGGACTGGGCAGGGATGGAGGCTATGCAAGCCCTTGGGATGGGGTGAGTCCTCAAATACAGATGCACTTTGTGGAGAGTGCAGTGCTCCCAAGGGAGTCACTCGTGATGGACTGGCCAGCATATGGAAACACGAGTCCAGGGGAACACCAGCCAGGTGTTCATCAAAGCTGACAGTGCAGAAATGAGGAGGCCGGAGAAGGGGCCCATCGGTCCTGGAGGCAGTGAACCTCATAGGATGTCTGCCAAAGGGCTGCCTGACACTGAGCTTGCTGGGGGCTGAGCTTTTGGAAGGCCAGAGGAGCCACTGGGGACACCAGTACAGACAGAATGGATGATACCAGCCTCCTGGGGGAGGAGTGGGTTGGTGGCTGCACAGCTGAGAATGGCACCTCCACTGTAACTCCCACCCCAGTGTACCTTTTGCTTTCTGGTGGAGTGATACCGGGAAACCCCATCTTGATGGAAAATAGTGCTAGGGGTTGAGAGTAGTATGTGCAAAATGGGCACTCCTCAAGAATTTCTTCCTTGTTTATATGAAAAAAGGGGAACTGAGAGCCCAAGCTTTGTGGGAAGCATACCCTATGGAGGGGAGTTGGGAGCTAACTCTGAGAGAGCTGGCAGATCTGCCCTGGCAGCCAGCCAGTCCCTGGGGAGATGTCAGTTAGGTAGATTTCGATCCTGGTTCCTGGGGAAATCTTTGGTCAAGACTCCTAGGGCAACTTTTAGGAAAACCTCACCTCAGGCAGAGAAGTGTGGAAGGCCCTGGTGGGACCAATGGCTAGCCCCAAGGATCCTGGCTGTTCAAGGCATGGGGCAGCCTCCCGGCGACTGCCAGGGAGAGGAACCAGCTCCTCCCAGGAAAGGGAGGAGGCCTAATAGATAAGACCCACAGCTGCTGCCTATGAGACATAAAAGTCTTTAGATAAAAGCAGCCTGAAAAATCTTTCTTGAGGATCTTTTCAGCCATGAAGAGGGAGAGGAGTCGAGAATTCTAACATTTGAGATACATGGTTGAGGAGGAGCTGTGATGGAGACCTGAGACAGGGCTGGAGTCTGCAGAAGCACATTCTGTGGGCTCCAAGTCAGGCCTGAGATCACCTCCATAGTCTTGGGGGCCCTGTAGGGGAGGAGATTTCCACCAGACTTCTGGGGTACATGGAGGCTGAGAAATAGCTTCTGGGAAAGGTAGATGGAGGAAGGAGCCCAGAAGAGCTGGAGAGTCAAACATGGTCCAATGACTGGACAGGTTCAGTAGCTGGAGAGCCAAACCCTGGCCCAGGAATTCCTTATGGACTGCTCTTACCTTGAATGGAGAGAAGAAATCAGGGACCTGGAAGATACTGTAAGGCAGTGGTCCCCTACCTTTTTGGCACCAGGGACTTGTGCTCCTATGAGAATCTAATGCCTGATGATCTGAGGTGGAGCTGAGGTGGTGATGCTAGTTCTGTGGAGCTGCTGCAAATACAGATGAAGCTTCCCTTGCTTACCAGCCACTTACTTCCTGCTGTACGGCCCACTTCCTAACTGGCTGCAGACCTTAGTGGTCTGGCCTGGGGCTTGGGAATCCCTGCTGTAAGGCATCTGGAAAAACTACCAGAGCTTTTGGGAAATAATTCTGGGGGTTAATAAGATTGGAATGCAAACACAACAGAGCTTTCCTTGATATACATGCTGTTCTTAGAATCCATGATCTGGCTGTAAGGTCTGGACCTCAGAGATACTAACAGAATGTGATGCTGTTTGCCAGTGGAACTAGACAGTTGCAGAGGGTCACTCTTGAACTTGATCGCTTTCTCTCTACCTTCTCTTCTCCCATTTTTGGGTTCATGTGATTGTCCTGCAGGAGTTCACAAGGTGTGGCTGTGGCAGAGAGATGTGGAACTGCAGGAGTGGGCTGTGCTATGGATAATTAAGGAATGATGTCTTATTTCTTGCTGAGTAACAAGCCACCCCAAAACTTAGTGTCAGCTAGGTGGTTCTTTTGCTGGTCTGTGTTGGCATCTCCCTTGCATTCGTAGGCAGTTGGAGACTGGGACTGGAGTCCTGGAGGCTCATCTGGGCTGGAACCTCCAAAATGCATCTTCACTCAACATGTCTGGTGCCTTGGTATTTTTCCGTGTGTCTTTTTTCTCTGTGTGGCGTCTTATCCTCTATGGCCTTTGCATGTGGCCTTTCTCTTCAGCAGAGCAGTTGAAGTTTTTACATGGGGATTCACATCCAAGAATACAAGTTGAAATTGTCAGTTCTTCATCTCAGAACTGTCACATCACTTCTGGCACATTCTATTGGTAAAGTGAGTTATAGGACCAGTCTAGATTCATTGTGGGAAAGAGGTGCATACAGGTGTAGATATTGGGAGAGCAGGTTCATTGAGGGCCATTTTGTAGACCAGCTAACTCAGAAGGGTGGGGAGAACACACCTGAGAAAGATGATCCATTACAGAGAAGCAGTGCCAGGCCAAACAGAAGAGAGAGCCCCCAGAAGGAGATAAAATGCGGGAGATTTGGCCATTCTACCTCGCCATCTTTGGAGGATATATGTTTTTTCAAGATGCCCTGGATTTCTTTATAAAGGCCACATGATAAATGATGCAGCTGAA